ATGAGGCTTATGATTCTCGGTGCAATCCACTAGAGTTAACTGCCCCTTCCAATAATGAGAGGGCACCTTCGATTAATGCTAGTCATTAGGTATTAATTATGTAGATTTAACAAAGTAGTAGCAAACTCATGGTACTAGATCGATTTAAATTGGCTTCATGAGATTAGAGCGAATGGTAAGGGAATGATGATGGGCCTGATCAATATCTCATAGTTCCATTGTCCTTGGTTGTTGTTTTGGTCCCTGGTCTACTTTATCAGGTTAGGTAGTCGATCCAAATTGATTTAAGGTTTATTATCAACAATCATAGGCTAAATCGTCTAAAGAGTTAATATAGATTTGAGGTGAATGCTTGTTTAAGGGAACAAATTCAAGTCCATCTTAGCCAACAAAGGCTTTTGTATTAATCAAATATGCCATCATGATTCATAACACAAGTTGTATGATGCCATTGGAGAATATACATACTACAATCGTGATCTTGATTTAGTTGTACCATTTGGCATCAAACCACCCACTCAGAAGGCTTTAGTCGTAGCCAATATTTTTTTGTGTAGCTATTTGGCCAAACCATGCGAATAGAAGACTCGGATGAGCACATTTTTATTGGCATATTTTCTTTTGAGTATGAATATAATGTTATACTCATGTGACATTCGATCTTTGTTAGTTGAAGTTAATCATAAATGTCACCATCGTCGGATAGTTGTAGAAGGCAAATAAATTTTTGCTTTAAGTTTTAGATAATAAAATTTCTTTGGATGCTTTAAATTTTACCGATTTCTTACATTTTTTGAATGTTTGATCAAAATTTAACCCAAGATAATTTTACTTCAATTTGATGGCATTTTCAAAATGGAATCCCTTCGAGTTAAGATTTGACTGTGTTAATCAATTTTATGTTGATCAAGGAACTTATATATCTTTGTTCTTTTAAAAGTTTGGTTGTTATATGGGATAATGCAGCATAGTACATCGAATCTACATACAATATTATGAGTAAAGGAATTGATCAATTTCTTTGTGGTAATTCAACTTGGATAAATAAGCGGTTTGCCAAACTAAAGCGGTGCCCATTGGATAATGATGGATTGATTGTTCCAATTTTATATATAACCCATCATTTGAATGACGAAGAAGCTACAGTTAGTTCTAATGAATTAGGAGGTTGATTTATTGCCACAAAGGATATGAAATACATGGCATTTATTAATTTGATTGATGGAATCTTTCACCTTTGGCAATCAAAAGTAACTTATTCTTTTGATCTCGCTTGCTATTTTATTGCTTGACCGGCATGCACCATAAATTCCTTCATGAACTTTGATCATTTCTTTAATGGTCTTATAGATAGCCACACTCGATTAAATGACCCATGATATTGGTATTATTAACAAAAACAAACCTTGAAGTAATCAACGAAGAGTTCTCTCCAATCATCTCGCTCTTCTATCATGAAGGCTTAATGTTGGTTTTGAGAAATTACTTACAATCATAATATTTTTTTTGTCTTTATTTGACAGAATTTTTTTATTTTTTTGTTTATGTTTTTTTTTTGTGATACTTTGCCAACAACAATTTCATCTAATTCAAAACTTTATAATGAGATAGCTCCCTCATAATTAACTTTTGCCATTTCAAAAGGTTGGAAAGAATATTCAGAATCACAGTCTAGAACTCTACACTTTATCTGCAAATTGTTTCATCTTCTCTTTTGAGAATAAAACATCCGAAGAGTTGTCCATAATAAGTGTCTCTCGATTATATAAAATGATCTCTAAATATTACATTTGTTAAAGACAATGACATAATGTAAATAATATCAAATATTCTTTATCATACTTAACCTCGTTGAACTTTGAATCATAAATAATTTCTTTAAAGGTAGTTAGGTGATTATATAAGACGGTCTTTCAAACACTTTGTTAGAGTGTAAACGCTATTAAAA